CCGCAAGCTGACGAGCTCAGACCTGGCTGTGGGCCAGCGCTTCTCAAACGAGCTGTGGCGAAGAGGCAGGTGCTGCCGTGTCCACCACCACACGGGATGCCTACCTCCCCGTCTCTAGTCCTCTCCTTGTACACAGGTAACAGTGTCCGCACCGGGACAGGCAGCAGGCCCCAGTGGCGGTAGGGCCACTCTAGACAACACGAGAGTGTTTCCGAGTAGGTGCAGCGCGAGGCGGGGGCCTCGGTGGAGGGTGCGTCTGGGGGCAGCTCAGTGGGTGCACGGGAGGACTGCAGAGGGCAGGGATGGGGAAGCAGCAATGGCAAGCCGCAGGCTGCCGTTTTGGTACCTCGAGTCTGATTCAGACGCAGGAGGTACTTCCGGAATCTACACAACGGGATCCGGTGACCAACTAACTGCTGAGGGGAAAGCAGCAGAGCACCACTGTTTTCTAGACCGGCAGGACCCTATTAGCGTGGGCGGAAGCAAGGTACGCAGCACACACTTAGAAAGGGAATGCAGATGGGAGCAAGACTGCCTTCAAATCAAACAAGCAGTTTGCTCTCAGCCTTTCCTCCCGAAAAATCTCTAGCATTAACCACTCACAGGACACTCAGGAGTCTGGTTGGGAGAGTAGCCACGTTACATACTTAGCATATATTTATGGTTAGCAGAGAATTTTAGCCAGGTGTAATCCCAGCACTCAGGAGGCTGAAACAGGAGGATTACTGCCAGTTTGAGGTCAGCCTGGGCTACAGGGTGAGTTCAAAGCCAGCCTGAACTATATAGCGAGACCTTGTCTCAAAACAAAAGAATGGTTTTAAATTAAGACACAGTCCAAAATGCCCATCATTACTGGAAAGAGGATAGAAAGGCACGGAATAGGATTACTGAAGAATAACTGATAAGGGGCCGGGGATTTAGCCTAGAGGCACAGCGCCTGCCTGGCAAGCGCAAGGTCATGAGTTCAATCCCCAGTACCTCCCTCCCAAAAATACAAAATAATTTGATGAAGATTTGAGTGTTAAACATCAGCAAGAACTAGCATCTTATGGTGAACACAAAAAGCCCTAAGCCTCCCTACAAATATTCACAAAAGTCCTTTCGACTCCACCAGGCCAAAGTGAGTCTGATGAAGCTTACCTAAAACAAAACCTGAGCACCCCATCTTCCCTTTGCATCTGGTCTCCAATTACAGAAATGAAACATATTTAACCCTGTGCACTGGGGAAGTATCAGAGACAGAGGGTTGCTACAGTTACAAAACCAGGTTTACAGAGACTCTACCTAGAGTAAAATGTCGCATTTCATACTAGTTCCAGAAAACATATCAGACTCTTTCCCCACCAGGTATAATTTGTCACCATGGTCCGAAAAACCTCCCCTTGTGGGAGCAGCAACACACGTTCGGCTCAGGAACAAAAGCACCTGCCAAAACCACAGCGGAGGGGGGCGGGTGTGCGGGGCGTGGGGGCCTGCACAGTTTGTTAGCTCCTGAGAAAGAAAAGCCGACAGCCAGGAAATCATGAAATGGAGCCACAGACACGTACTCTGAAGAGCCCCAGGCTGATGTGCTATGGGTGGCCCACCTCCGGCCCAATACGCTGCCCCCTAAAAGGTGCCCTCGCTTCTGCGAGGTCTTCCTCAAAGGACCTTCCCTGTTACAACTGCACGCACAGGGGCTGGGGATTTAGCTCAGTGGCAAAGCGCCTGCCTGGTAAGCGCAAGGTCATGAGTTCGGTTCCTGGTACCGGAAACAAAACAAAACAAAACAAAACAAAAAACTGCACCCACAACACTGCCCAACGTGGTACTGTCCGCTCCCTCTCCCGTTCCATTTTTCCTCCACAGCTACCATCAACTTCCTTCTTGTCTGTTTCCTCCTCTAGAATGAAAGCTCTACAAGGCAGGGAGTTTGCCTGTTTTGTTTGCTTGGTGTATCCTCAGGGCCTAGAATATCTCTATAACCCAGCTACCTATTAATGCTTTAGAATAGCATTTTTTTTTGTTTGTTTTCATTTGTTTTGTTTAGATAGCGTCTTGTTGAGTTGCCCAGGCCAGTTTCGAACTTGCGATTCTCCTGCCTCAGCCTCCCAAAGTACTGGAATTATAGGCATGTGCCACCCTGTGCAGCTAGAATTTCAATTTTGAAATCTTTAGTTATAACCATAAGGTTAAAATCAAATTGCCACCTCAGAGTACCAGAGTACCAATAAATTTCTCCTTCTCTTTCTCTCTTTTAGCTTTCTAATTTTTTCAGTTTTTTTGAAATACTGGGGATTGAACCCAAGAAGCACTAAGCTATATTCCCAGCTTTTTTTTTTTTTAATTCTTTTGTTGTTGTTGTTGTTGTTTTGAGACAGGGTCTTCTATGTAGCCCAGGCTGGCCTGGAACTCATGGTGATTCTCCTGCCTCAGCTTCCCAAGTGCTAGGATTACAGACATGTGCTACCACGCCCAGCATTTTTACATTGGAACACGAAAACGTGGCCTGGAACTTGTGACCCTTTTGCCTGTCTCCTAAGTAACTGGGATTACAGGCATGCACCACCATGCCCAGCTTGCCTTTGCTCATCTTTGTATAGAAACAGAAATTGAAGCTATTGATAATTCAGGCCTGAATTTAACTTTTAAAAGCCAGTTTATTCCGGGCAAAGCAGTAAGATTTAGAACATGACTACTACTTAAAATGATTAGACCTTACTCAGATTTGTCTACTCTTCCTTTAAGTGTTGTCAGGGTTTGGGGGATGTAGCTCAGTGGTGCAGCGCCTGCCTGGTAAGTGTGAGGTCTTGAGTTCAAGTCCAGGTACCCCCCCCCCAAAAAAAAGTAAGTGTTGTTAAACTCCTCCTCCCTAATAAGTCAATCGAGTCTGCTCCTTCTGTCTCTGGCACATCTCTCATCCTTGCCACCCTTTCCCTTCCCCTGCCCCCCTTTTCAGATTATCTCTGCTATCTATCTCTACTCATTCCTATCTCTACTCGTTCCCCCAACACACACACACACACAAAGCAGAGCACTGGCCGATCACTTACCTGCTCCAGCACATTAATGGCTCTCGGCTTCCTACTCAATGAGTAAGGCTCGGTACACCCCGCGGGCCTCCCGCCTTCCCATGCCAAGGCATCTGCAAGCAAGCTCCTTCGGAATGTCCCCGCACCGAGCCCGCGGCCCCAGCTTACGTCCCACCCCACGGCTGGGGCCTCCCCTGCCCCTGAACGGGTGCAGCTCACAGCGCACCACCAGAACCTCTCCGGGGTAGTTACAGAACCCTGCTCTGCGCTGGGGTTCTGTGTGCTTGCGTCTTCTCCCCACTGGACCCGGACACCTTGGAGACAAGCTCTTCCTGTTTCTTCTTTGTATCTACACAGTATCTTTCCCTAAGGTTCTCTAAATACACATTAAATGAAAGGGAAAAGAAAAAAAAAGATGCAAATCCTCAGTTACAGGAGAGGACAAGCTGGTTTGTGTATCTGAGCAAGTAACAGCCCAGCCTGGACACAGCGTGCTGGGCACAGCCAGGCTACTTGAAGACCCGGAGAAGATGCAGTTACAACTGGGTGTGCAGAGAAAACCAGAGCAGAGTGCAGTGGCTCAGGGCAAACAGGGCCGGCCTGGAGACACTGAAAGGTTTTTTTTGTTTTTGTTTTTGTTTTTTCTCGGTTTTTTTCCTGTACAGGGAATCAAACTCACGACCTTGAGCTTGCCGGGCAGGTGCTGTGCCACTGAGCTAAATCCCCAGCCCCTGGAGACACTGAAAGTGACACCTGGGTTCTAAAGTTCAATGGCTGAAAGGTTTCTCAAGCCAAATGAGACTTGTTGATTGTCAACTTTGCACAAAATAGGGAATTCTGAAATTTAAAGTATTCCACTTTCATTTTAAAACCTTGAAGGTTTTGCGCATGGAAGATATACAGACGTTCTGAGAGCCTGCCAGTAGAGCTCCCGACCGAGAAGGCCGCTTGTTTTGACGGGGGAAGTCCTTGCCGATCCAGCAGGCCCCGATAGGTGACACAGGCAGCCTGCAGGGCCGTGGCTGCTCCGGCCTACGGATGGGGAGCAGGTGTGCCGCCGACGGGACAAGGTGAGGTGCGATCAGTATTTTTCCTCTAGAGTACTGTTTGAGAATGCTTTCTTAACAAAGGAAAACCACTCACTGTGTTCACAAAAATAAATAAGCCGCAGGGCAGTGACAAAGGGAACGTGCTGGTCAGACCCAAGCTAGGGTCAAATGAGAATTTTTACTGGACAGAATAACAGAAATGACAACAAAAGTTCCAAATCCCGAGATGCATGGCTTTGTCTCCTAAGATTACTTTGGAAATCAAATATGATTAATTTCCCAGACCAAGGCTTCACTCTGCAACTGCTACCATGAAAAAATATTGTAAGTCGGACAGCGAAGTTACATGAGAACACACGTAGTGCTTCACTCCCCTCACCACAATAACCCATAAACTGGTTAACTTGGACCGGTGTCAAATCTTACAGCCCACAGTTATTTCAGGCTCTATAAAAACACGTGAGTAATTTGAGGAGTTAAGAAGGCATGTTCTTGTAATTACATTACAAGATTCTAATCATTAGAACTTAACAGATCTAACGCAGCATGTCCTCATGAAGACCTACCAGTGGAAGGTACTCACAGAAAACCCTAGAGCTATTTAGTAGATTTTTTTTTTTCCGGTACCAGGAACCAAACTCAGGACCTTGCACTTGCTAAGCAGGCACGTGTACCGCTGAGCTGTACCCCTAGCTCCCCAGAGCTATTTAAACATGAAGTCTGGGCAGAAAGAAGCAAGCTTAAGACACAGGATGGGCTCAGTGGGAAAACACAATTCAGGCTGCAGACACATGCTTTGAGTAGAATGCCTCTTCCTCTCTTTATTCCAGGCACCTTTTATTTTATTAAATAACATAACCATTTTTCTTGCTCTGGAATATGTTTACTTGGAAGCAGCTACACAAATGCACACATCACCCAAGGCCCAAATCCCAATTACCTTCTTTTAAAGTCCACTTGATTGAGCCCGTCCGCTTGCTGACGGCATGCAAACTTCCGTCCAAGGTTGACACAAACAGCAAGGTTTCAGGCACAGTCACTGTGCTGCTGCTTGCCCAAATCTGCAACAAGATGTAGAAGAGTCCCGTGTGAATATGCTTCTTTACTTGAGCATGAACGACCACAGCCCGTCATCCTCAGAGTAATTCTTCATACAACTCCACCTGCCGGATGAAGAGCCTGAGCCTGGAGGGACGTACATCCCACATCCGGACGGCAGCTGAGTCAGGACCAGCCCAGGCCACCTCACTCCACCTAAGCACTGTCCTCCCTGCAGACAGGAAGGCCCGGTAAGCACTGGCACGCTGAAACAATCCACGGGCAGCTTCCGCTGACGCCGAGGGCGACGTTCTCCTCGGTCTTCCGACTCCCTGCTCTCAGGTCTAACTTCATCTCTAACACCGGTCATCTCACAAGACTCCATGATTTAAAAAAAAAAAAAAGAATGCTAACATCCACCCCTCAACATACATGCGTACTTTTGAGATTTTATAAAGAAGAATTAGGGAAAAAAATTAGAGGAGTAGGTTTAAAACAAAATAGGGAAAATAGCTTTTGCTAAAGAATTTATATGATAAAACATTAAGCTTCCACTAAAGACATGCTGTAACAGTAAATAAAAAGCATAACTCCAAACTATTTTTTAGAATCAAAACACAATTTAAATTAAAACATACCTTTTCTTGTCCAAATGATGAAAAACAAAACATTTTATAAAAATAGTCAAAGACTATAAAATTGTATTTCTCATCCATTGCTGTTTGCATTGAAAATTATACATTACCAGCTGGCACGGTATGCCTGTAATCCCAGCTTCTCAGGAAGCTGAGGCAAGAAGGTCCCAAGTTCAAAAGGGCAGAGGATGTAACCCAGTGCTCCTTTGGTTCAATCTCCTATACTTTAAAAAAGAATGTGCTTATACTTTTCGATCTTGACACTGTTTCTATCCCCTAAAGAAATAATCCTAGATACGGAGAAAGCTCTGGGCAATAATACTCATTACATCCTGTTCAAAAACAAAAAAGCAGAAAGAACCAACTCCCAATAATATCCAAAAGGCTAAAATCAATTAAGAGACATATGCTTGATGAAATATAACATAAGCATTAATACAGAACTTCGAAAAATTGCAATACAGAAAAACGCTTCTATATATTATCTGGTGAAAAATAAGAGTCCAAAGTGTGCTGCGCTGGACAGATTTCTGTCGGCCTGTCTGCCGGCTTTGCCCGCTCCCTCACCACACGGTTTCCATGGAGCAGCAGCGTGCATACGCACATGTGCTCGCGGTAGCTGCTAAGGTTTCCTAGGTAGGGCTACTGAGATCAGGCCTTCAACAAGGCCACCTTGCAATAAGGTGTTGTCTGCCTCTGCCGCTGTGCTGCCCAGCAAATGAGCTTGCTCCTGTGGGCGGGCTTTAGATTGAAAGCAGGTCAACACAATTTGCTTATACTGCAACAGTATGAATTTAGGCACAAATGCTTGCTTGCTTTATTATCTTTTTCACACAGGGTTTTGCTACGTAATTCAGGCTGGCCTTGAACTCACTTTGTAGCCCAGGCTGGCCCTGAACTCACGCAATCCTCCTGTCTCAGCCTCCCAAGTGCTGGGATTACAGGTATCTGCCACCATGCCCAGCATAAATGCTATTTTTAAAATACAGAAGTATGGCTGGCTTTTAATATTAAACACAAGATTGTGAAGGTTTACTTGTGCATGGCAGCCTGACCCCAGAATGATTGGTCACTCTTGTAAAGAAGGAGGATGAGGCTGGGGACATAGCTCAGCAGTACAGTGCCTGCCTAGGAAGTGTGAGGTCCAGAGTTCAATTCCCAGTACAAAAAAAAAAAAAGCCGATGATTGATGCCACTTAATCCCTTAAAAGGGAAGGCCCCACGACTCTCTCCAGGCAGCCTGAGGTGGCTGGTCCCTGCATTCGTTTTCCATGGGGGAGACCCACAGGAGAGACAGAAGGGGAGGGTGTTCACGCCAGTTCGAGTCTTGCTCATCCCATCTCTAGGGAGAAAGACCTGGAGGGAAGAGGTTCAGCCCTTACTCTGCCTAGGGCCGGGCCACACACCGTAAGGGGAGAAACAGCCGTAGACTTCGCCGTGGCCTGCTGGGCCTATTCTCTGTACAAAGCCCGCAAGCTGACCCAGAAGGGTCTGCTTTTTAGTCTAACTACGACCAGCAAACTCGTTTCAGGTCAGGAACCGGTGGACAGAAGCATCAAGCGTGGTGCCCTATGTGAGGATCCAAAACTCACCGACTGGGGAATCATTAAAATTATTTCAGCCCACAGGGTCCAGACGATGCTAAGCTCCATCTGGACCTGCTCACCTGGGGAGAGGAAGCCGCACAGCCCAAAGCACCCGGGCCTAAAATAAGATCACGGGGGCCGCAGCTCACTGAGAGATGCCGTCTCCCAGAGAGGGGCGGGTGTGCCCCAGGAGGGCGGGACCACGCTCAGGTGAGCAGTTCAGAGACGGAATAAACAAAGACAGCAGCTGTGTGCACACCCAGGGCCCGGGAAGTAGAAAGCCCCCTCCAGCTGTCAAACAGTTACCATAGCAATAATCACTTTATTTGACAGCTGCTAGGATCCACACAGGAACTGAGCTGGACTGGGGTGGCTGAAGTAGGAGGAAGTAAAACACGGGAGAGAGTGAGAACAGGCTGAGAGAGAGAAAGAACGACAAAGAGAAACACACAAGGAAGCCGAGCACACATGTGCCGCAAAGATCTGGAGGCAGTAAACAGCCCGGCTTCCCCGGCTCCTCCCCGCAGCGCAGAGGTCCCACACGGCCCGCACTAAACTCCCTCTCTGCTTAAGCTTGCTGGAAGTAGATTTCTGTCCCTCACAACCACAACAGTTTACACCCCCACGCAAATTTTTTTTTTTTAAAGCAGATAGGAAAAAGATGAAGAAAATATTGCAGAAGTGTAGCAGCTGCTTTTTTCTCTAGTTTTCTGAATTTTTAATAACACGGTCATGTAACCCACAAAGACTCTTTCACAAGCTAGAGCAGGGATGTACAAGCGAGCGGGTGGGAGAGAGGCTGGAATGTAAACGAGTTCCGGGGAGCACCTGAGCTTCAGGAGAAGCACTTTCCATTCATTCCAGGGCAATGGCAGCTGGACCGCCTTCGATCCCTAATACTCAGCAAGACAGACAAACGTTCAGAAACACAGACCTCTCCCAATCAGACTGTGTGCATCCAAAAGTGAAAGAATCTGTTGTTATCAAAGCCTACAATGCAACAATAACAAACTAAATGCCCCCAGGACATCTTACACGTTACGAATACTTACAAGGGAGACGACAGCCACCACTTTGCCCGAGCACCTGGCAAACCACAGGAAGAACAATTGCCTACGGTTGGCTGGTGACTCGAAATGAAATACTAATCACACAACGAATGTAGTCTTCTGGAAGTCTCAAGAGCACACGGTTTAGAGAAGTTGAACTCAGCACCTGAGAGCTCTGGCGGTTAATCACAAGGTCACAGTAACTCCCCAGCCCTCTCACAGGCCCGTTCTTCTCTCTGAAGGTTCTCGGCTGTTTCAAACCCGGGTGCCTGGGAAGCACAGTGTCTGAACAGTGTCACACTCTCACACGGCACATACATGTCACCCATTTCTAGCTTTCCCACCCGCACTTCTGAGGCACAAATGCCTGCCTTCAAGTACAGCTGCTGCAACTAACATGAATTAGATATGCTTCTAGACGGCTTTTATGGTACTGAGCGCAGCTAAGAACTACTCTTCCTGGCCATCAAAAAGCACTGCTTCACAACAGTGAATGTGCTCATCGCCTCTGCCCCGCCGCTTCCATCTCCGGCACTCACTCCTCTCTACGACAGACGAAGCAGCAACAGGCCCTGCAGCTACTCACATCGGTCTCCAGAGAGTGCGAACATGGGAAGAAAAAGCCAGTTCTGCAGACCTGCTCCACACTGACCATCTGAAAGGTGACTCACGTTTAAAACTACTGGAATACATTCTCCAGGCTGTGACGAGGCCTTCTAGGAAGCAGTCCACAGTAACACTCCAGAGGCTGAGAAGGACCGGGTGAGCTAGCTGGTCCCCACGGACGTCAGATTCTGCCCACACAGTCTCTCCACGCCAGCTGAGTAGAGAGCATCTGAGAAGCGCCCGCCCTGAGGACGGAGTGGCCCGGCTGCACACTGCGGAGGATGTGGGGAAACCAGCCCAGTTCACGTAGCGGGATTTGGTGCAGGCAGAGCCCTCAGTACAGCCCCGCTCAGAGAGAATCTGATTTGACTTTCGGGGCTGGGGATTTAGCTCAGCGGCACAGCGCCTGCCTGGCAAGTGCAAGGTCGTGAGTTCGATTCCTGGTACTGGAAAAAAACTAAACCAAAAAAGAATCAAACTACAGGTCTGATTTGACTTTCAAGACAGGATTTCACCATGTAGTTCAGGCCGGCCTTGAACTCACCATGCAGTCCAGGCGCTCCTCTTGCCTCAGCCGCCCGCCCGAGTGCTGGGATCACGCGGAGTGTCACCAAGTCTGGCTCGGACAGGATTTTAACAAGTCTCTCCCCATGAAAACAAATGCAAGATCAGGACGGGGTTGAGCTGCCCGCTGTTCTGATTATAAAATGCTCCACAAAGTCTGGCAGCTTCACCTCTCACAAAAGGCACCGTCCACACTACGTTTGCTACAGAGACACGGGCGTTACCCGTCTCACTTACCAACTGTTTTAGCAGAGATGAGTAACAGTCACCAACAATTTAATTATTCTCCATACTCTGAACTCTGCTGATCATTGGCTGCTCTTTCATTAATCAACTCCTCGTGTTTCTAGTAAGAAAAAATCTTTTCTAAAATACCCCCTGAAATAACTTTGTTTAGAAAAAGTCTTCGGTGAAGGGAATTACGGAATGAGGGGCACAGACACGAAATGACACGGAGAGAAAGCCTTTCAGCGTGCACGCCGGTATTCGGGACTGCTCAGGCAAGGCGGCGATGGCTGGCCAGCGGCTGGAGGACAGCCAGCAGGGGCCTGGCTCTGGGGTCACATCTACCCTCACAC